TGTTTTTATCATAACAGGGTGTTGAATTCTGTCAAATGTTTTTTCTTCATCTATTGAAATGACCATGTGGGTTTTGGTCCTTTTCATGGCGTATAATCCTTTCTATTTGTTTCTTGATCTTCTTTTACTGGTATTTTGTTGAGGATTTTTGGGTCTACATTCATAAGGGATGTTTTCTTATGATCCCTTTGTCTAGTTTGTGCATCAAGGTAAAACTGGCTTCATAGAATGAGTTGGGAAGTATTCCTTCCTTTCTTTTCTATTTTTTGGAAGAGTTTATAAAGGACTGGTTTTAAAAGTCTTTCAGTATTTGGTAGAATTCACCAGTGAAGCCATGTGAGCCTGCGTTTCTCTTTGTGGAAATTTTTAAAATTAATTAAACCTTAACGTGTTACTAGCCTATTCAGATTTTCTATTTCCTCTTGAGTGAGTTTTAGTAACTTGTGTCTTTCTAGGAATTTGTCTTTTTCATCTAGGTTATCTAATTTGTTGGTACATAGTTGTTCATAGTATTCCTTGTAGTACTTTGTTTATCTCATAAGGTCAGTAGTTCTTCCTCCACTTTCATTCCTAATTTTGTAATTTGAGTCTTCTCTTTTTTTCTTGGCCAGTGTAGCTAAGTTTGTTAATTTTGTTTATCTTTTTTCAATGGGTCTTAAAAATAGAGCAAGAGAGACATAGGTGTGAGAGAGAAATATTGCTCAGTTGCCTCCCATATGTGCCCCAACCAGGGACAGAACCCAATAACCTAGGTATGTGCCCTGACTGGGAATTGAACCCACAACATTTTAGTGTACAGGACGATGCTCCAACCAACTGAGCTACCTGTCCAGGGCATTTAGAAATGTTTTTTACATATTTGTTAGTTTCCAAAGTTATAAGTTCATTCTATTGTGGTCAGAAGACATACTTTGTATGATTTCAATCTTTTAAATTTATTGACACTTGTTTATGGTCAAACATATGGTCTGTCCTGGAGAATGCTGCATTACATGCTATTGTTAGAGTGTTCTACAGGTGTCTGTTAAGTCTAGTTGATTTATGATGTCGTTCATGTCTACTATTTCCTTGTTGATATTCCACTTAACTTGTTCTATCCATTATTGAAAATGGGACCTTGAAGTCTAGTATTATTACTGTTTGTCTACTTTTCCCTTTAGTTCTGTCAGTTTTTGCTTCAAGTATTTTGAAGTTTTGTTAGAAACACATATATTTATATTATTACTAGAGGTCCAGTACATGAAATTCATGCATAGGGTAGGGTCCCTCGGCCTGGCCTGCACCCTCTCACAATCCAGGACTCCTTGGGGGATGTCTGACTGCCAGTTTAGGCCTAAACTGGCAGTTGGACATCCCTCTCACAATCTGGGACCACTGGCTCCTAACCACTGGCCTGCCTGCCTGCCTGATCTCCCCTAACTGCTTGCCTGCCTGCCTGATTGCCCCTAACTGCCTCTGCCTGCCTGCCTGATCGCCCCTAGCCACTCACCTGCCTGCCGATGGCCCCTAACTGCTCACCTGTCTGCCTGATTGCCCCTAACCACTCACCTGCCTGCCTGATCATCCCTAACCACTCTGCCTGTCTGCCTGACCACCCCTAACCACCTCTGCCTCAGCCCCGCTGCTGCGGCTTCATCTGAAAGGACTTCCGTATGACCTCCGGAAAGTTGTTTGGCTGTCCAGTCTAATTAGCATATTATGCTTTTATTGTTATAGACTAGAGGCCCGGTGCACAAAAATTTGTGCACTCAGGGGAAGGGGGGCGTCC